CGGGTCTCGGTCCCTGCTCTGTCCTGCCGGATCTCCCCGTGAGAGCCTCGCAGGCCGAGCGAAACTACCTCTTCTGTGAATAAAAACGGCCTCCCGATCCAACTGACGGACACGTTAGCAACTGACATTAGGTGGCATAAGGTAAATTTACAGAGCAAACTCCAAACTTAAGGCGCAAGGAGGAGCTTGTAATTTTTCCAAGTGTGGTTTGGAGGTCAAACTCAAAATGATTTCATGATAATAACCTGTAGTGCTCACTCTGGTAGGGCAGGTTAAGGAAACAATACCTAAACCACACCATGTTATTTGGTAGCCACAGACCAATAGAAAAGTGAAGGAGAAGCTCAGTGCTGTCAGTGATTGATCAGCAGGATATTGGGAATGGAAACACCTTTGTATGACTGCGTTTGGATGGAGGGAACCAGAGCTGCAGCACACTGAGACTGTTTCCATGAGCAGTGAAACCCCTCTGATTCCCAAAAGCCCCGTCCAGCACAGAGCAGAGCAGCACTGTGAGCCGAGTTAGCTTTCAGAGTTCCCAAGATGCTCACACCACCTTGAAACTGCTGGAGTTTAAGAATGACCACACTATGCCCTTTCTCCATTTGATCCAGAGAGTGAGCACACAGCCCCTGTGTGCCAGATTCCCTATGGTAACAGCATCCTCTCCATGCTTTGGGAGTCTCCACCTGAATTGAGTGACAAGGTGCACTAACAGAGCAGTGCCCAGTGACAAGGTTCTTACTGCAACCCACTGTTGTAAAACCTTCCCACGGAGAACATGACCGAGTTCGGTTGGATTTGGCTTCTGTTTGATTCCTTAGTTTCCTTGATTAAGTCCGTGAACACTGCTCCACATCAGAAGCAACAAACAAGCCTATGAATAAACATTTGAAGGGTGAGGATCTCAGTTTATGGGGTACTTCAGACTTGTTACTTCATAATCTACTCAGTTAAAGAATGTAACCCTTACTTCATACAACTGTATATTTAAACTCTGATGTGCATACTACTGGTAGATCAGTCAACCATCAATAGAACAATCCCCAAATAGATAAATTTAAAAATATTCTTCAAATGAAGCTGAAGAAGGCTATATACTGTAAAACTAATTTTTTGATGTAGATGTATAAATACAAGTGTTTCTTTCCTAGGGTTTCAATCTGAAGTTTGCTGAAAAGCTTTCTTTTTCACTGCAGGGGCATTTTTTGATTATTGGGTTAGAAGATTAGAATTTTAAGTAATCTATATAATTACTAATCTAGATAATGAAAGAAAAACACAAATGCTTTTTGTTTAATCTCAGTCAATTCAATTAAGGATTTAAAATTAATACTCTGTATGCATCTGACTAGAGCCTGGATAAATTCACAAGACTTCATAGAATAAATGCTTATATGAGTGAGCATTTAAGTATCTTTGACTTTTCAAGAATCCTAGGAATATACTTCACTTTTTCAGTCTATTGTCTTCCCAGGAAACACAAGACATCAAATATTTCTGGGGCAGAACCCAGAAGAAGGAGCATTTTCTGTTATTTTTTCTAGTGCTTCAGAAATAGCTGAGGAACAAATAATTTGTGTCTTTGTCAATTTACTTGAAATAGAAAAAATACAAATTGAATTACAATAACTATGTAGTCATATGCCCTGTGTGAACTGCAGCAAGAACTGCTTGGCAAAATTATTGCCTTTCCATTAGTAAAGACTTCTTGAAAAAAAAGATCTACATTAGTAGTATTTCTATTGAACCACCCTCTATTAATATTTGGAAGAAAGAATAAAACAGTAAAAGTCTCTGGAAAACATAATAAATTACATAGTAAGGGATCCTTCTCTTTCAAAGGATTTTGCTTATTTAGAGAATACTGCCTTCCTCCAAGTGGAAAAATATCTCTTGCTTTAGCAAGAATTGAATAATGTCTTAAGAAATTACAGTACAAAACGGAGCTACTTCAGTAGAAGCTTAGGTGGGCAGGAAAGACTGTATAGCAGATGTTGGGGGGGTTGTTACTTTTTGTAACACATTTATTTACTCTGGTTAACTGTTAAACCCTACACTAGTTAATTATCCATGCTTTTAATCATGACACCTAGTTGCTGCATGTTTGTACCTCGTGCATTTTAGGCATTGCACAGTACTGCTCCGTCACAGAATTACTTGGTTCACCCTGACTCAGCTGCATTGGCATGACAGGTGCTTCTACAAAATAGTTTCTGCACAAGCATTTGAAAAACAAGAATTTTTCTTTGTGTGGAAGTTTCTAGGGGATTTTTTTAACATGCAAAATGTTGAAAAGCAGTTGCTGTTGTATACCAGTATGATAGCCTAAAGGTAACAAGTGAAAGCATTGTCCAGAACTTCTGGCTGTGATGAAGGAGATGACAGGATAGACTGTGTGAAAGCCTGGCAAGAAATACTGCAGGGCTGTTACTTGCAGCACTGGACAAGTTTCTGGAAATACTTAATATAGGATGTTGATTCAGTACCATCAAAAGATTGTGAATAGACTTTTGTGACACTAAGCCCTTCCTGATATGCACATTGCATGCTGTAATTTTAAGTGTCAAATATATGCAAACATTTCTTCCTCCATCACAGCACCATGCTCAGAAAGGCTTAGGTTTAAGGATTTATCAGTTATCTTTTTGAAGAATTAACTGGTAGCTGTAGAATCTTGAATTCCTGTGGAATGGTGGTTCTCAACTCCATATAGTGAAGCAGAGCTGATTTAATTAATTACAGCTATTACTGACCTTACAGAGCACCAAGAGCCTAGCCAGGCTATCTATCCTCTGTGTCTTGCAAAGCATCCAGAATCTCAGAGCATCACTGGCACAGTCTCTAAGCAGAATAGCACATTTGTGACTTTAAAGCAAAGAATGCCTCACAGACTCCCAAAATGCTAAGATGCCTCCAGCTTGGCCTTGAGGCAGTGGGAGCTCTGACTTGGCCTAAAGCAAACAGGCATGGAATTAAAATGTGGCTTTTATGAATATATCCTTTAATCTAATTCTAATTTTGGTTCTAGAAACAACTGATACTATCACAATTTCTCCCCACCCCCAACCCCTCTAGATTCTAGTGCTGACAGATTAATTTTTAATGTAATCAATTTGTAAGTACCCTCAGTTTATATCTTTCTTTTTCTTCTCAACCTTTTTGTTTGTTTGCTAAAATTTTGAGATGTATAGGCAATCCTTATTTTTTTAATTTGTAAGAATCTTTGAAAATTTCAGAAGTCACTTTTAAGCACATTATTCTGTTGGCCTTTACAATTGGTCATGTTTTCCTCTTTGCACCAGGCATATGTAAGGATTTACACCAAATTTGAGTCAGCTTTGTGGTTTTTTAAATTTTTTTTTTAATACTTCTGAATATTTACTTGCTCTGAAAATGAGTGTTTCCTTGCTCTTGGTCTACCCTGAGCATTGCACAAGGGTGTGCCAATGATTTGGCAGCTCTGTGGGCGTTTATAGGGGAAAGAGCAGGCACTGAGACTTTCTCAAAAGCATTGTGTCAGTGATATTCACTTTTCTTTCAGGGCTTCTTAGCAGATTGCAGACTTCAGCTCACACAGTACCAACTCTATCATCATCAAAGTCCTTTTCACAAAACATTCCAAACTGTTTATGGAAACTGGGCCGACTTAATCACGTGGCAATTGCAGTGCCTGATTTGGAGAAAGCTCAGTCCTTGTATAAAGATGTGTTAGGAGCCCAGGTGAGTGAGATTGTTGCTCTTCCTGAACATGGTGTCTACACTGTTTTTGTGGAGCTGGGAAATACCAAGCTGGAACTTCTACATCCATTAGGAGAGAAAAGTCCCATTGCAAGCTTCCTACAAAAAAACAAGACTGGAGGAATGCATCATATCTGCATTGAGGTATTTTAACAAAATATTTCATGTAATAAGATAGATACATTAAAGTATGTATATTTTAATAGGATTGACCTGTGTCAAGAACTAACATAATAAGGCTGTCGTATTTCTTCTCTCTTACACAAAGGAAAATTTAGACAGATGTTTTGATAGGCAACTTGTTTCAAAAAACATAAGTATTTTAGGAAGAAATTAAATTATTCCTGACCAGTTACAATGTAGTACCTGCAGTGAAAACCGTGGTGGACACACTAGAGTAAGAGAGCAATTCAAGCCTGGTACTCTCCTAACATGGATACACCCAAAGGATTTCCACTGTTTACTGTCACTCATCCTTGGGGATGCAGGAATTCATTCCAGCTGAGCCCAGACTCAGTTCCTCTTCAGGCCATCTCTGCAGGACAGGAGCAGCAGCTGCTGTGGCTTTTCTGCTCAGGGAAAGAATGTGGGGGCCATGGCACATGTCACATGGAGCCTTTCTAGTTTAGATAATTTGACAGTCATTTCTTTTTGTTTTGCAGACTGGTAGTTGTGTGTAGGAAGAGCTGTAGTGAGTTTGGAATATTCATGAACAAAAATGCTGCAAATGGGTAGGAATTAGGTGATGTCTGCTCCTCTGAATTAAAGCTAGGAATTTCCTTCTTCCCTACAATGGCATTGGGAAAGTTTATTCACCAAATTATGTCCAGACACCTCAGTCTTGAAAAATAACAATATTATTTTAATTCTAGGTATTTTTTGATTATTGACAATTAAATTTTCTAAATTGAGTGTTAATATTATTATTTCAAAAAATGAATGCATTTAAATTTTAGGAAAATTCAGATTTCATTGGATGACATGACATCAGAACTTCAGATCACAGCGTGCAGTATAGGCATGTTTCTGTTATTTGCATATTTCCGTAGGAAACTCTACTGAAATACTGTATTAATGGCTGTTATTATAGTTAATTTCAATAGGAAGACCACATTTGGATATATTTTTGATAATTCCAAGCTCTTTTCATTAGGAAACTTTATAAGCCTTAACCTACTCAGAAGGAGAATATATAAATCTAAAAGGGACTTTTACCTTCTGTCCACTGCCCTCCCTTTTTACCAGCATTTAATGAGTCAGTGCTCTGTCATCACTTATAAAGGCAGGTATTTTTCTTTAGTTATTGAGAGCTAGATAGCAATATAATCTCCTTAGAAAAAGTAATGCAGAATTTAGAGTATTTATGGAGTCCTTATAAAGTAACAACAAAAAAAATCAATGGGCTTTGTGCATGAATAATTTTGATTTATTAATTTCTTAAATATAGCACAATCTGTTTAAATGGTATTTTGTAAAATCTTCAAATAACAAATGCAAACTTCTGTAGTATTTTTATTTTTAAGACTAGATGTTTTAAAATGGTTTTTAAAACATGTAAAATGGTTTTTTAAAACATTTTGAAACCTAATTTATTTTCAGAATTATATTAGAACTTAAAAATAACATTTCAGTAAGGAATTACATTATTGCTTCTAAATGTAAAATCTGCATAATACAGTGCAATATGTTAATTTGTGTGAACTGTATCTTTTTTGTAAGGTTGATGACATAAAAGCGGCTATGACAGAACTGAAGGAAAAAAAGATACGAATATTGAGTGAAGAGCCAAAAATAGGTGCACATGGCAAACCTGTGATTTTTCTTCACCCTAAAGATTGCCATGGAGTCCTTGTGGAACTTGAGCAAGCTTGAGCTGCAATATTCATAAATAAAACAATAGAAGAGTTGTGAAGTTCCTGAGCTGCTGCTGGGAATATTGATGTGGTATTCAGTCTTTACTAGTTCAGTGTAGTTCCCATGGATGAAGTACAGCTTTTGAGTACTGAAATAGAGCTACAGATTTAGGGTCTTTGTTGTTGCTGCTGATCTGATTTTCAGAATTAATATGTTGTCATTTCTTGAATTCTCTGTGATCCTAAACACAAATACATGAGCTAAGTTACATATGTGCCATAATTTATCGTCTGTTGCCTGTTTGCAGCATGATTTTACCTCTGTAGCCACAGAAACTGTACAGTTTCTAGGTCAAGCTACATTATTTTGCTCCACATTTCAGAGCAGAGACCCACTTCTCAGTGACAACAATATAGCTTAGACATTTTTGTTAGAAATAAAGGAAAACAAATATGTGTTTTCTGTTTTCACCATTCACCATCTGTGCTTCACACTGATTGATTGGTTCATGCAATAAAAAAATATATATTATTGTATGAGTGTCTGCAACCAGTAAATAAGTTTTTCTTGGCATAACAATTACTGCTAAGGAAGTTGCCATGCATAAATCATCATTTAGTTGTCTTACAAACTTCGTGGATATGCAGGCAATGCAAGAAGAGAACATGAAAATTATTTGCTTGACATACATTTCAGACTGTAATGCAGTTGTGACATTTTAGTTTTTTCATTTCTAGGGTTTTCTTAATATTTTTCCCCAAGCTTTCTCCACAGAAGGACATATTGAAGAGACATAGCAAGCAGTCATTAACCTTTTCACTTTACAAATACAGTTTTCCTGTGCAGAAGCACTTAGAAAATCAGTGTCAAACATGCACCACTTAAGTCTTGCTTCTGTACAAGGTTGTTAACATTAAAGACTGTGCCAGCATCCTGATGTCACAGGCTGCAGACACAGTTTTATTGACTTATTTATGGACAGACTTCACTTTATTGGTATATATTACCCAGGCAGTCTTTTCCCGATACTTTCTTTCATAGGTTTGTTTTGATTTTTCAGTGTAGAGAGAGAAGACTTGCTATTTCTTTAGTTTTCTTAAGCCTCAAAAAAGTCATACTTTCCTAGCTTAACTAGAATCTGAATTTTAAATTTTTCTGCATCTCTGCATATACAGTAAAAACCTTCAGCTTGACGCAAGGATCATTTTTGTCTAAGCAACTTTTTACTTAGTGGAATTATGTGTGTCATGTTTGCAGCAACAAAATATAAATATAATGTTGACCTGAGATTTAAAAATGTTTTTAAAAGCATTGACACTTCCTCATAAATTTTGCTTCTGAAAAAATCTCTACAAAGCCATGACTTTTTTTTTTTTTAAGAAGATAGTTTTGTACTCAAAATAAATACTCCTTCTGTCATATTTTAAGAAAAACACAGCCTTCCACGGGGTTCCTACATTTCATCAAATCACTGTTTAGAGGGTAGTTTGTGATCTAAATTCAAAACTGTTTAAATGTAGAAGTCCTAAGGCCTATGATGGAAATGCAGAATGATTTCATATTCCTGAAATATGATTCAGCCGTTCTAGGAGACATTCTATGAGCAGAGCTGCTTTTGTCTTTTCTTTCTGTCAAAGACAAGGAGGTACCTTTTCTGCAAAACCAGCAGAGGAATGCCAATACTAAAAGCCTCACTGGTTAAGATAACTGAACAGAAGTCTTTAAACCAAATACCCTTAGTTTGGTGCAGCAGAAACAGTCCTCCCATGGTTCTTTCTCCATTTCTTTGTCCTGTCTGAAGGAGGTCGACTTTTGTGTGTGACATCTGTCCATACACTCAGAGTAGTAACTTGAGGTAGTGCTAGAGAACAGAGGTTTTTAAGTAAACAGCACTTGCTCCACCTGCTGATTGTGCTCCCTATCTTATTGGCAGAAAGAGGCTTGGAATACTTATTAGCTAGTAACCAGCAATTTTCCTGACAGACTGATGTGGGGTTGCCCAGCTCTAAGTCAGCCTGATGTATATTATTCCTTCCATCTAAGTCGTGCCCCATCTCACTCACAGTTTATACCTTTCTTCTGACTACTCCTAAGGTGGAAGTCAAGAAAACAGCAACACACACACACGCAAAACCCCAGCCCTGCAAAAGATAGTTTAGAGTTTAGGTCTGCAAATTAGTCAGGACCCAAGACTGGATCATGTTCTTACAACCTCTTATAATTTGATGGGGTCAGACCCCCTTACTTGTCTGAGTGTGCACTACAGGAGAGGAGAATTTCCCCTTCTGGAGCTACAGACAATGAACAGCCAAGGGAGCTAGACAGCTACAGGATCTGAAGACAGCTACAACTGAGAGAAGTTTCCTGTCCATAAATTTCACTCGCTGATTCAGTAGGAGCAGAATCAGCCCCTATAAACTGTGTAGTCCTTCACCTTAAGGCAGACAGCCTCCCCAGGTTGTTCGGACTTACCAAGGGTTGGAACAGGACTTACATTTGTGGGCTTTACTCTTTGTCACTGCCATGATTAAGAGTAAGAGGGAAGTAGCATCAAGAAAAACAGTGGAAATTCAGGGATGGAAACCAGGGAATGAGAGAACTGTGATTTGCTCCTTTCAGTGGAGGGACATTTAACAATACACACACCCCTGTTGAACCATTATACAACTTTTGGGAAGAACAACAGTGATTCAAATAACTGGAGACTGATTATCTTGGAAGGGAATTAGGTTTTGACAGTGTTTCTTCTTTTTTGTTTTTTGTCTGTTTTTTGTGGCTTTTTTAAAGCAGCAAAATCTTCTTCTCTGATAATGTCAAGCTTCTCAGAAGACAGAGTGTTAATATTTTGCCAGTAAATTTTCTCATGCTTGTGCCATTTGTCAAGTGCGAGTTCCCTATTACAATCTCTCCATGTGCCTTTTTTCCCCTCTGAGCTGAAGCGTGTTCCTATTTTATGCTGCCTAAGGCAGACAAGACACATTTTTCTGGACTCCCATCAGCATTACTCAGGCAGCTAAAGAGCTCATAATTAAATGATGCAAAATACCTTTTTTTACTTCCTCTCTGCAACCCTCAAATCACTCCTAGGTGGGAGGAGGTGAACCGGCTGCAGAATGAATCCATTTCCTTATGATAAGACAAACCTAGAAGCAAATTTAAAAAGGTGAGAAAATAACTAACTGTGTGCTTTTTAAAAGCTAACTTTACAGTTTTGCAGTTCTGCAAAAACTCCATTCCTGTCATGGTTATTCTGCAGTTAATGCACCCGAATTTCATTCTGAATTCTGTTGCTTTCATTATTACCATAGCAAGCTGAAGTCTCAGAAAGACCATGAACATGGAGATGTTTATATTATCTGATTGAGGTAGTTACAGTATGAGCTTTGAATGGTATCTTTGGCCCTTCATTTGATTCTGTCCTTACAAGGACTTCCTCCTGTAGTGATGTGACATGGGTTTGTTGGACATAAGAACCCTTAATTAAGAGAAAAATTCAGAATTAATTGTTTCAATACTCAGTTCTTTTACCAAAGCAGTTGCCATGTTGGCCAAATTATGAGGCTGTCAAACAGAATAAGATCATCAAGTTCAACTAATTAATTATTGTGAAAATGGAAACTAACAACAATGTATAAATTTATCGACCTAGGGCTGACATTTTACAGTGGAAGACCTCAACTACCTAGGAATGCCAGATCTGTCACCTTTGATAAGCATTTTCAAAGCACTTTGAACAAATTATGAAATAAATATTTATTTAATTTTTATGAAATAAATATTTAAATATTTAAATATTTAAGGATGTTTTTATACTGTATAAGCCTTAAATATCTATAAAATCATGTTGTCAATTTTAATGCTCATTTGCACTGTCTTGTATGTTGTTAAAAAGCATTGCTAACTGCAAAGTTCGTAGCATAGATTCACAAATGAAGAAGAGTTCTCTGATACATTTAAAAGTAATGATACATTTTGAAGCATTTAATGACTTTTGTAGATCTAATCTAAAGTGGCCTTTCAACTGTTACTGCTAACACAAAACCAGCAAATAGGTACTAAAATCTTCTATGAAGTAGATCTTTAATAAAGATGTTTTCTTATTTTTAACATAATTTTTTTTGGTAATAAAGACAGGTTCAAAACATGATTTTAAGATCTGAAGTAATTTGTAACTGCAGGTACCCTGAAAGCATATATGATGATGCACAATTTGCATTAAATAAGGGGAATATCCAACTCTGCACCCATGGCTGGCTTTTATGGAAATCATTATTTCCAGAAATTGAAGAGTAAGACAGGTACATTCATGGACTGGTATCATGCACCCTATTTTTACCTTCCATTTTGGTATGTAATTTTCTGTAATAACCATCTGCCTGAGTCACTGTCTCCTCTGACATGGAGGGAGAATGCTTGTTAGAAACTTAAATTTAAAAAAGTTAAAAAATATATCCCACTCCCTTTGGGACTTCTGAAGTCTTTGAGAGGTCAGTTGTGGTACAATACTCACAGCTGCAGTAACTACAAGAAGAAAACACCAGCCCTATTGGCCTGGAAATACTGCTTTTAGTATGTTGATAAAGTGAGATTTAGTTATGTATATGAGGCTGTTTCATCAAATTAACACTTTTGAGAATTAATAATACGAATTAAAACATAATTTGCCAAATGTTTAAACAAACCGTCTATGGATCATATCTGCAGATACACTGCACTTCTGTGTAAAACATACATGCATTACAGTTTGGGTAATGTTTTGAGTTTTTAGTATGTTCAAAAGAAAACCAAAATCAGTTGAGTAACTGGATGTAGAAAGGGACAGATGGGAAAAGTCACCATAGAAAACCATGACAGAAAATAGCCTCTTAGTAGCAAATGGAGAGTCTTAACAAAAATCCTAACAACTAAACTAAAAACTAACTCCTCTCCCCAAAAATGGGTGTTTCCATGAAGGGCCTTTGCATGTACATGGAATGTGCCTTGATGTTAACAGCTGGGTTATAGCTGCCCCAGGGCAAATAAACACACACCATGCTGAACACACAGCTATTACAGTAAGCACTGATACCTAGCTGATTGCAATGCAGTATAAATTACATTAGGACAGCTTTTCACTTTTTCTATAGTGAGAAAGATTAGTTACTATCTCAAATTTGCATAATTGTGAGCAAAGCCTGTCTTAATTGCCCGAAGATACGCATTTTTTATGTACAAAGTAGTCACTATGAGTAGCTGCCCTAGAAAGATCTAGAGGTTTCTGATAAAAGGCCTGAGGAACCAACTGTGTTTATCATTCACCATGAGAAATGTTCTTGGAGAAACCCTCTTCAGTGAACTTCTAAATAGTACACATTGAATCCTACATTTTTAAACTTTAGGGGTGGATCTATGTATTATTTGTACAAGGGCACAAAAATCATGATTTGTTCTCATAAATCTGGCTGTATGATGGAACATGAGCGAGTCCAGTGCTGTCCCCTGCTGTAATGTGCAAACTTGGGATGTTTGGATTTTTGTAGAACTGGAGCACCTCAAGCAACAGGGAAAGGTGAGGTCATTACCTGGCAGGTGACTACATGGCATTCAGGAATGTAATTCGCAGAGAGAATGTGGAGACGCACAGAAAACACCCTCAGCTGCCCCAGAGGAGGTCCCTGAGGATACAAGAGTGGCCTTGCCGAGTGTCAGAGCGGGATGCGGGCGAAACATCGCTGTCGGCAGCGCTGCTCGGGGACTCGGGAGGGGAGCTGGGGCCGGGGGCCGCGGCCTGCTCTTCCCAGAGCCTCTGGACACAATCTCTGAACCGCACAACTGCTCGGGCTCGGAGGCAGGGTCACCCGGAGCAGCTTACACGGGAACGCGTCCAGGTGGGTTCAGAAGGTCTTCAGAGACGGAATCGCCACACCCTCCATGGGCAGATCTTCCAGGGCTCTGCCACCCTCAGTCTGAAGAAGTTCTCCCTCATACTGAGGTGAAACTTGTGTTTCAGTTTATGGCCATTGCTCCTCGTCCTGTCGCCGGACACAGCTAACGAGTGTGGCACACGCGGAGCTGGCACAGTGCCCGGCCTCGCGGTCTGGAGGTGGATGGCGGACAGGTCAGTGTGTCCGGCCGAGCCCCCGGGCTGTGCGGGCCCGGGGCCGCCCCCGCTCCCCCGGGGCTGTGAGGCGGCGCGGGCGCT